GAACCAGGTTGCTGGTTGGTTGGGCATCTGGGGTCAGAGAAGTAACTTTGTTCCTCTCACCGCAGCACCCAAAGGCTCCAGTCAGGATTGGAAGGAAGCTCAGGTATCCGGCCTTGTAATTAAAGAGCCGGCAGGTAGATCTGACTCACGGCCACCGCTGGGCCACCCAGAAACAGACAGACCCTGCACCCAAAGAGCTGACATTACACTGCAAGGTGGGATGGCGAGGTGTAGAACACAAGAGGAGACGCTGAGACAAGAGTCATAGAAATACTGGGTCACCTCTCAGCTAACGCTATGGCTACGCCCATGGTGGTGTGTAGAGCACACGTTGCAGGGAAAGGCTCCGGCAAGGGGTGGCAGTGGGGAAAGGCTCCAACAATACGGAGCTGACGGAGCCTTTGTTTGCTCCCTCCCACCCCAGTGCCGGAGCCTTTCACTGCGGTGGGGAAACACCCTGGCAGTGGAGAGGCACCGGGCTACCACGCTGCTAAAAATGTGAGTGTAGCTGGGGGCGGCACTGCTTGGGCATGGTGCTGGGAGTGTAGACGTAGCCTTCGTGTGCAAATTGGAGGCTTCCTAGTGTTTTGCTTTCAGTAATACGGCAGCAACAGGCCACCTGCTGAGGCCGTGGGCTGGGTGCTTCTTCGAAAGGTTTAGTGGCAGGGTCAATGCGGATGGGACCCCTGGGAGGCCCAGAAGCTGGGATAGGGTAAACAATAATACTAGCTCGCTCTTACATTGCGCTTGCTGTCAGGGGATCTCAAAGTGTTTCACAAAGGAGCATTCTGCCTCTTTTACAGATGGGGAAACTGAGGCAAAGGGAGATGAAATGACTTGCTCAAGGCCACCCCGCAGGGCAGTGACAGAACTGGGACTAGAACCCAGGTCCCCTGAACCCCATCCCCCATGCTATATCCACTAGGCAACACTGCCTGCCCTAGGCAAGGGTACTAGCTGAGAGGGGCGGGGCAGTATGGACAGGTTACGGCCGTCCAGACTTTCAGATCATGCAAAGAGCGTAACCAAAGAACACAGCCAGAACTGTAGTAGGGTGAAGCCAGGCCAGTCTGGGACACTTTGCTGAAGGACCAGCGGGTAAACAGCTAGTAACAGCACAACACACACAGCCATTGCCACCACAGCTGGGGCGCTAGGCCCCCCGGCTCTCTTTCTCTCTCACCGTGTGCTGGTTGCGCCTAGGTGCCCCAGCCGCAGCCCAGGTCCCCATTGGACAAGGCACCGCACACACAGAACACAAGAGGGCCTTTGCCTCGAAACGCTCACTGGCTCCAAAAGTGACACGGTCCCCATCCCCATAGTGTCTGAGCAGCTCCCAATCTGTGTGTGCTTCTCTTCACCCACCTCCGTGCCGGGGACAGAGGGACAAGCTGACCTCGCACCGGGAGTTGGCAGAGAAGCAGAAAGCTGGATCCAGGTGGTCCCATGTCCAAGCTGAGTGCCCCTAACTACGGGGTCACCCGGCCTTTCTCGCAAAGTCTACAAAACCACCGCACACGGAGCGGACCTCCCCCCGCCAGCGCTGCCCAGACATTCTGAAGCCTTAACTCAGGGAGGACACAATGTCAGATCTTTTCTTTTCAAGCTCTGAACCTTGGCAGCCCTCTCGGGCACAGACGATGCGCAGGGCAGGCCCAGGGAACTGCATCGGCACATTTTGACAACATCCAGAAGAGTGACAGAGCTGACCACTCGCTTGGATCATACACTTAGCGACGAAAATGCGTCAGGAGGACAACCCCCATCAAACTCAGTGTCAGGACGGCTGTCCGAAGCCAAGCCGTGACATCAAGCCTTCCGCCAGAGGGTTTGCATGTCGTATTTCTAGACATTAACCGCGGAAAGGAAGCCAATGCTGGGGCTGGGATCGGAGGTGCTCAAGGACCGAGATGTGATGGCTGTGTGCAATGTGGGCCGAGTTAGCATTGCTTCAGGAAGCAGAACTTTTGCATTCCTGACTCTGGGTCTGTAGATGCTCCGTCACGCTACCCGGCTGCATTCGATGAACAGACTGGAGGGCAGGGGGGGGGCTCTCTGGCTCACACCTGCACATGCAGGAAGGCACAATCTGAGGTGCTGCTACATTTGAAATGACGGGGGCAGCCAGCCAGCCCCTTCTGGCTCCTGTCAGTTTCAGGCCCCACACTGGCAGCGTATTAGGGTGACCAGATGTCCTGATTTTATAGGGACAGTCCTGATTTTTTGGGGCTTCTTCTTATAGAGGTACCTATTACCCCCCACTTCCTGTCCCGATTTTTCACACTTGCTATCTGGTCATCCTACAGCGTACACAGCTTGAGAGACAAAACCCCAGCGATGTGAATCGAATGGGGCCCTGCAGAAGAGAACTCGGGCTGGTGGGAGGACTAAACGGTGGGCTAATGTACAGGAAGGATGGGCCAAGGCTAGTGGGGAAGCCAGTCTCAGCTGGGTGAAGGCAGATTTCTCTGCCCAGGGTTCTGACCAGACACTGCACACGCAACACAGGCAGTTTCGCTCATTTTCAAAGTGCAAGGAGCTGGATGGACTGAGAGCACCAGACAACAATACTGCCATCATGGGGTCCACCAAACGGCCCCCGCCGCGCCACAGCCCTGGGGGAAGTGCCACTTCTAAGGCCAAGAGGAAGCTTCTTCTCAGTCACTGGCTTTCCCCGGGGAAAGGTAGAAGCTCCCATCACTTGAGACTCACGAAAGTTGGGAGCAAGCGCCAGGATACACGCCATAACGAACCATCCTGCGCTGGCAGGGAGCTGCATGCTGACTCCTGCTAGAGGTGCCAGCAGTGGAGGGTTGGCTTGGGCTGTAGGCACCTGAACCCAGACCCACTCATGTCACATCAGACGATCGCAGCGGCTCCTTGACAACAAACACAGGCTGGATTCAAGCCAGAGACCCCCAGAGGAAACCCCCCAACCTGCCCCTTTTATCCAGTTTGTCCTTACGCTGCAACTACCGACAGGGGATCTGGACCCGTTGGCTTTTCACAAGGCTGGCCATCCCCCTGGCATCCGGA